GACTGAGAAGTAAGCCACACACAGCAGCCAGGGTCTCTGCTCTGCCACCTCTGAGCTGGATGGCCCTATGCAAATCACTGGTCTTCTTCTAAGCCTCAATTCCCCCCACTGCAAACTCCACCTACAACACAGATTTGTTGCAAGGACTAAAGATAACATTCTTCTAAAAATAAATAAGAAGACCATGTGCTGGGGAATGCACTGACCGCCCAGCTCAGAACCAGAGGCTGTGAAATACCACTTTTGAGGGCTTTGTGCAACTAGACGGATGGTGAGGAGGGACGTGGGAGAACGAAAGCCTGGAGCTGGTTCTGTCTCATGGGGTGCAGGGCGGCTTGGCAGGTGGTGTGAAAGGGTAAGGAAGAGGTGAGCAGGGAGGAAGCCCGGGCTGAGGCACTCGGCACCTTTCTGCACCTGCGAGGCGAGTGGGAAAGCCAGCGCTTCGGGAAGATGCTGGAGGTGGCTGGGAGCGGTGTTCGGGACGTAGGCTCAGAGTCCCACTTCCCTCTTTAGAAATAAGTTAAAATGACATTCATTCAACAGCCCTTGATGGGTTCATCTCTATTAACTCCTGCCTTTTGGCTCAAGCCACTTTTTCTGTGTGCTGTCAACCTTAGGCCCCATAACAGCTTGTCACCTTGATCATTATCAAAGACGGGGATGAGGGATGGTGGTGGGGTGGGGAGTGTTTGCCCAAGTTGCTTCATACCTGAGGTTGTTCAGACAACACAGCATCTCCTTAATCTCGTAAGACAGAGACAAGTCATTCTGACATCGTCAGACGGGAACTTACCCTTGGTTCCCGACAGCGACTGTCCTACACTGGCTCCAGGCCCTCCTTCTTGTGTCTATCAGGATAGCAGGAAACCTGCTCGCAAAATCTCCCCTGGGAGGAAAGCGCTTGGCCAAAGCTGGGTTTTCCACACAGTCCTGCAAAGGCTTGGGTGGTACTTTCCCCGCTGGACCACCTCTTCCTTGACTGGAGACACTGACCCATACAAGGTCAGGTCTTGCAGGTCCCCAAGACTGTTATCACTGCTCTGCTTAGCCCCGAGGGCCTTCCACCCACCCCCACCCGCTCCTCTCGACTCACCTTCTCCGAGGCACTGCCATACGTGCTTTCCCAGATCGTTGCTTACGCCTCGACAGATCAATGGAAAATTTGAGAGCATTCTGGAAACCTGGAAAGCTGAGCTGACATTCTTAGAATCCAAGAGATGCTGCTGTGGCAGTGGGGGATGGTTTTGTTATTAGTAAGTAACCTCTGTTGTTGTCCCTCTGTCAAATTGCAACTCTGATTCATTTTGGAAAATGAATTTGAAAATACAGGCAGGCAGAAAGGAAACAAAAGCACCATCACCCCATTATCCAGAGGTAAACTCGCTGGCTTGTGTATTTCTAGGCTTTCTTCATATGCACATACACACCCGCTCTTTTTTTTTAAATGGGAGTGTTTGATGCGGTTTTGTAACCCGATCTTTTCACATGACCACTGCAAATAGTTTTCCATGTCATTAAACAGGTTCCCACAACTTCATTTTTAATGACTGCCCAGTGTGTGCCAGCAGCTATGTGCCCCAGTCAATTTGTTGTGTTGTTTTTTTCTCATGCCTGTGGTCTGCAACTTACGTCAGTATCTGCTCTAAGGAAGTACCAAGGTTTAGCCAATTAGAAGCTCTCCATTAAAAATGAAAAGGGCATCTGCAGCCCTCCAGAGGGTGGGCCAGCGTCCTCATTCTTCTGAAAGGTATCTTTGTTGCAAAGAGCAACCTGGCCGTCAGCCTGTTAGGCTGTGGACGTGGAAAAGAGACCCACTTATATTCCCCGGTGGGCTTCTTCAGAGAGGTTGGGCTGCTTTAAAAAAAAAAAAAAAAAAAAGAGCAGAAGAAAATGTTTTGTAATTGTTTGTGAGTGCACACAGGCTCAGTGGCAAAATGAGACGGAACCCTTGATTTCTAACCTCCTGCTGCACTGTTCAAAATTCCTCCCAGAGAGGCAAGGAGGAAGCAGATCTGAAGCACTCTGATTGTCAAATTTGCATCTTCTCTTAGCTGGTTATCGTCCCAAAGGGCATTTCACATCAAATTGTACTTGTTTGTAAAGATCTTCCACCCAAGACAGACCACTTCCCAAGATACTGCTGATATGGAGGCTAGAGAAATACAGAGAGAGGATTTAAAATATTGAGAGTCCCTGGGTAGAAATGTAAACAGATTTAAGGGCAGCAGCTTCCGGCCTGGAAACCCCCAGAGGATCCCGATCAGAGCCCCAGTCAGGTAAAGAACAGGACAGACAGCCACCACACGAAGGAAAACCGGAGGATGTTCATTAACGAAATGCATGTGTGCAACGTGCTCTTAGAGAACACCAACAGTGGGCTAGCCCTGCCCTCGGCGCGGAGAAGCAGAGATAAATAATCCCCCATTTCTACACCCAAGGAGCCAACCGTCTAAGAGAGGAATCAAATGTGCCGGCGAACATTTGAAACACAGTGTGACAAAGGCTGCGCCCAGACACTTAGGCACGAGGGACATGACAACACAGAGGTGTGACCCAGAGGAAGAGGAAGGAAAGACAGGACGTGTCCTAAGAACCACACCTGGTCAGGTAGGATCGAAACACAGGATGGAGCATCAGGAAATGAAACTGGTGAGGCCCACAGAAGCTGGAGCATGCGGTGTCCTGTGTCCCGCGGAAAGGAGCCTGGGCTTTCTTCAACCTCCAGGAGGAGCCTCCGGGTTTTCAGCGGACACAGGTCTTACGATTCACACTGGAAAGGCTCTTTCTGGGTAGTATGGAGCTTGTTAGACTGGCACAGGGAACAAATTAAGAGACTGTCATTAGCTTCAGGCAAAAAATGATTGGGGGGGGCTTCCCTGGTGGCGCAGTTGTTGAGAGTCCGCCTGCCGATGCAGAGGACACGGGTTCGTGCCCCGGTCCGGGAAGATCCCACATGCCACGGAGCGGCTGGGCCCGTGAGCCATGGCCACTGAGCCTGCGCATCCGGAGCCTGTGCTCCACACGGGAAAGGCCACAACAGTGAGAGGCCCGCGCACCGCAAAAAAAAAAAAAATGATTGGGGGCCTCAACAAAGGACGGTGACAACGGGGATGGAGGGAGGAAGCAGTTCAGGTGATTATTCAAGAGATGGAATCGACGGGGCTGAGTGGCCCACTGAAGAGGGGGTGGGGGACAGGGGGAAAGCAAAGAGCAAGTACTGCCCAGAGCGAGACCCCCAAGGAAGCAGAAGAGGACTACACCTGGGGCAAGAAGATCCGGAGGGAGCCCTTTCCTCAGACCTATGGAAGTAGGAGAGGGTAATCGTGTAGACACAGATGCTAACGGGTATGGGGGGCAACTCGGCGGCACAAGGCGGGAAGGACGACAGTTCCTGGGAGAACGTGCACTCTGAGTGAAGCAGGGGTAGATTGCTGAGAAGGAGGAGAGTAGAAATAGGACCTCTTGGGGACAGTGGCCAACATTTGGAACAGCCAGTAAAGGGCAAGGAAGGAGGAGCTGGTGCTCAGCCCTGGGAAGTAGAACCAAAGGGCCCTGAGGACCAGCTGAGCCCAGAGGCCAATCTCCATGGATTGTGCTCCCTCCAGCAGCACCCTGCAGCCAAGGCGGCGAAGAGCGGGTAGGTGATGATTGGGTTCCCAGCTGAAAATGTGGCCAACTGACGCAGGGGATGGCCACATCCCCTCAACTCAAGGGACATGAGGATGCCGAGAAGAGAGAGTGGAGGGCTGCCCAGGGAAGGAAGTGAAGCCAGGAAGGGCTGAGAAAGCCAGGGGCCGATGACCCAAGTCTCAACAGAGCAGAGATGAGTAGAGTACCAACAGGACAGCTAGCGAGACGGACCAGGGCCTTACGCCGTGAAGTCAGCATGCTGGCGCGTCAGACCCCAAAAGTGGAGTAAACACACTGATGGCAACGTCCAGGAGGTGACCCGGGAGTGGGGGATTGAAGTGGGGCTGGTGTTCTGGCAGTGCCCGTGAAGGACAAGGGCCAGCAGATGGAGGAGGGTGGTGGGAGGGTCTCTGAGACTGTCCTACTTTCAGGCTGGTCCAGGCTGAGTTCCCCACCAGTGTCAGGCCCCACGTCCAGCATGGGCCTGCCCAGTCAGCAACTACCACCTGGGCTTGGAGTGAGGGGCCTGGAGTTCTCCCAGGTGGAAGCTGCTCTCCTGGGAGAGGACAGTCTTGGGATCCACCTGATGGACCTGGAAGCAGCAGGAGACACCCACCTCTGGGGGAGACCACAGTGTCCCACGGGAGCCTACAAACCCCAGGACACCATCGTGGGATTTAGCAACCAAAATCCACAGTCTGTTGAAGGAGAGCTTGGTTGAAACCAAGATAGTCCCACAGTTGGGCATGGCTGCGGGTTTCGCCCATGCATCCAGTGCTGTCTGAGGACACCCCAGTGCCATTCTGTGTCCGTGTCTTGAGGGATGGATAGATTCCCTCCCAGGGAGTAAGGCAACCCTTGCCTCACACCGTTGCCAAAGCGCAGGTACCTGCCGGCTGATAAAGAGCCCGACGGCCTAAGGGGCCCTCCTTAGAACCCTGACTCCCAGACCCTTCAACTGCCACCTGTGACAAAGAGCCCGGGTAATTCGTGTTTCCAGCACCGTCACCTGAACCACATTACCTTCCAGGATAGCACCAAGTAGTTACAAATTACAAGGTAAATATTAACGCGGCGCGTGGGTTCTTAGGAAAAGTTCCTAGCTGTTGCCACCATTTGGTAACCTGTACCCCCAGGTTTGCCTTAATCTTTTTTTTTTTTCCAGCTCAGTTTGAACTCCTATAGCCTGGGCGCGGGAGACCTGGATTCCTGTCCTGGCTGTCTTAGGAGCCAACACCCGCGGTGGGGAGGGAGGGGGTCCGAAGCGCCGGAATCCGCTGGCAGGGCGTGCCGGGCTGGGGGAGACAGGGCGCCGGTGCCGGGGCATCCGCCGGGCCCAGCCCGGGTGACTGACCTTGGCCTCCCCGCAGGTGCGCGCAAGCGCTGCTGGAGCACGGCGCCTCGGTGCAGCGCGCGGGCGGCGCGGGCCTGGACACGCCCCTGCACGTGGCGGCTCAGCACGGCCTGGACGAGCACGCGCGCCTCTACCTGGGCCGCGGGGCGCTCGTGGACGCGAGGAACGCCCGCGGCGAGACGGCCCTGAGCGCGGCGTGCGGCGCGGCGCGGCGGCCCGACGAGCACGCGCGCTGCCTGCGCCTGTGCGCGCTGCTGCTGCGGTGCGGCGCGGAGGCGGACGCGCGCGACGAGGACGAGCGCAGCCCGCTGCACAAGGCCTGCGGCCACGCGCGCCACGGCCTGGCGCGCCTCCTGCTGCGGCACGGCGCCGACGCGGGCGCGCTCGACTACGGGGGTGCGTCGCCGCTGGCCCGAGTGCTGCACACGGCCGCCTGCGCCCCCGAGGCCGCGCCGCAGCGCACGCTGCAGGCGCTGCTCAACCACGGCTCCCCCACCGTATGGCCCGACGCCTTCCCCAAGGTAAGAGGGGGGTCGGGGACAGGCCACGAGGACTTGGCAGCGCAGGGACCCGGCCTGCCGCCGGGGGGCATCCAGCGCTTCTCAGGCTTTCAGGGGCCCGGAACTCCCCTGGAGACTGGTCCAGATGCAGATTCTGATCCCGCAGGAGGGGATGGCAGAGTCTGCATTTCTAGCAAGACTAGAGATGAGGGTGAGGTCTTGGAACCACACTTTGAGGAGCCAGGGCTGGGCAACCCTTTCTAGAGTCACTAGAAAATGAAAAGGTTGGGGGGTCAACAAGCATACTCCAGTGAGACCTTGCAGAGTTGTCACCTGGGGACGCCAGGCACTTGTTTCTATGATGCCGTCATGGCTCAAAATATTTTGGCAGATTATCTTTTGGTGTAATTGATGAACAATGAAATCAGTCTCTTGTGGCATCTGGTATTTGGCTTGAAATGAAATACGCAATGTGACCATCCACCTTATTAATAGGATTAATGATAGCACTTCACAGATTTCTCTCATTCAGTCCTCACCACACGCCTGTGAAATACATCAGGTTCTTGACATTCCCTTACCTGGATTTCAATCAGGTGAAATGCCCTGTTCAGGGTCAAGGTTGTGTTGGGACCTCAACCCCACTTTGCAGACTTGGCTCTGAGCTGCTTGTCGCCTTTCCACGTGTCAGATCTGCACTGAAATGATAAAGATGAAGAATAAACATTTCTTATCAGAGAAAATAAAGACAAAATGTTTCCAAAAGGAAAGTTCCCAAGACACTAGTTAAAATAAGCGATTGTCCTCCCCCGAAAGACTTCATTGAAGGGAGGTCATTCCATTCGATGTAAAATTGGCTGTGCTAAATTTAAAAATTATCCCAGACTCACCAGTCATATGCCAGAGACGTGTTTGGCCTGATAAGCTTTACACAAATAGCCTAAAAGCTGTTATCCTAAAAGGACAACAGCTAGATGGTCTAGATGGTCTGAAATAGTGAGATTCACACATTTCTTTCAAATGCTAACTTTGCATCCCAGATGCATACAGAGTAAAACTCTTGTCTCTCAAAACACAGGTGAGAAATGGAAAATCCACCCAGACAATTCCCTGGGTGTTTCCTTACTTGACAAATTTTATGACAAGTTTCTTATGCCAAGTCTTGCACCATCTTCGAGTCATCCTCTTGAGGCATTCTACTAATGCAGTGATTTCCATACCGTGCATGGACTCTTGAAAGGGAAGAAACGCCAGCCTTTTTGTATTCTATAACACTTCCCTTTTATATTCATGATTTACATTTAGACGTTTCCCAATATTAGCAGGCTTAGTTCATCTACCGATAAAATGGAAACCTACCACCCCTCCAGTTCACACCGTGTGTGCCTTAAACCAAGATGCACCCTTCAACCCTTATGGTGTGAAACTGCATAAAGAATGAACAAGAAACAACAAAGAAAGAAACAAGACTTTACATGATGCCCAACAGTGAAAAACACCTGGGACAAATTCTTTTAAAGAAAAAAAAAATCAGTATATTTCAGTGGTGACCAGTAATAATCCTTCGTTAGCCTCGAAGGCATTCGATTTTTAGAGACCTCTGTCCAGGTTTCAATGTCCGAGGTGCAGCCCCACAGGCATCATCCCGGGGGACAGGACTTCTAGCACCTGAACTCTGTCTCCCAGGCTGTGGGAATCACCCCACCCTGACCTAGAGATGCAGAGCAAAGCCCAGTGCCTCCCCTTTGGGCCTCCAGGGGCCCTGTCCTGGGATCCCCTCATGACATCTTTTGTCAGCCGCACAGGAATGGAGCAGGTCAGTGGGTGGGGTGCGGGGTGGCTGTGGGTTTGGGTCTGGGGACAGTTAGTCACAACGGGGACCCAGAGGCCACGAGAGGTGCTTGGCTCCCGGAGATGAGGATGAATCTCCCAGCAGTTCCACACCGTTGCGGAGAGAACCGGAGTTTCTTTGAGAATCTTAATACTTTGAGGCTTTCACGGAGCACAGTGCAGGGAACCTTCAGTCAGTTTGTTGAATGAGAGAAGGGGATTCCAGCAACTCCGGGGCACGGCGCTGCAGTTAAAATCTTTGGAAACGGGCCTCCGACGTCTTTGCGCTGAGACCCGCCCACACCTCGGGGGGGGGCAGGGGGCGGTGCGGAGGAGGTCCGCAGCCCCCTGCCCCCAGCACCCCACCCCCCGGCGCCCCCGGCTAGGAGCAGGTTGCGGGCAAGAGCGCGTTTACTACCAAGCTGGACATCCTCCAAGCCAAAGTACAAGTGCCTGTGAGGCTCTGGCCTCGCCCCAGGACAACCAGGGCGAACACTCTGGAAATGTGGCATCAGCATCCAGACCCCCTGCATGTGCTCCACCGGGAAAGGGGTCTAATCCGCACGCGGGAAATCAAAGCGCAGACCCGACTCGCTCAGCAGCCCCGTGGAGCGCGCAGCAAACACGCTGAAACGAGCCACAAAGATGCTCTGCAGGCAAGACTCAGCGCCATGGCGAGGCGTACACAGAGGCACCGGGGAATGTCACAGAGCACGCCGGCCGTGGGCAGCAGCCGTGCTTTAAATAGATGTAAAGAGACACCCACGGAGCTCAGAATTACTGAGGCAAAAGGTTTCACAGCGAGCTTATGACATAAATCACAGTTCCCCGGTGCCCAGACAAAGGCACCAGCGCCGCAGCAGGCGGACTCGAAGCGTCCGTTGGAGCCGCGCGCACTGCGATGCCGCGAACATCAAAGCGGTGTCACGGCTGGGAAAGCAAAGCATGTGGACAATGCCAGGCCTTTCTGCCCGGCTGACCGCTACTTAACGCCAGAGTCAGGTGGGGGCGCGAGGGCAGGTGCAGGTGTGGTGTCAGGATGCAGCCAGGTTTGAATTCTGGAAGTTGCCGGGACGCAGGGGGCCCAGCCTGGAGGAGAGCGGGCAGGAGGGCAGAGAAACGCACACGAGGGTGGATCCAGACTTGCTGCCGCTAGTCGACTTTGTGGGTTGGATGCTTGGTCTGGGATAAAGGCCTTTGCTCACGTGCCTCTCTCCTTCTGCCCCTCACCTGGGCAGTCATAAAGAATTCACACTTAGATTTGCCCAGGAGTTGGGGAAGTGCCAGGCCAACACCGGTGATGAAAGCTCTCCCCCACAGGCATCCCTTAAGCACTTACTCATTCAACAAACATTTCTAGGGAGCAGCTGTGCTCCCGTGCTGGTGGTACAGTGTTGAACCGGAGCATGGGTATTTCCTGCCCTCATGGAGCGCCAGTCAGGTGGGTGAGATGACCTTGACTCAGACAACCACACACACCACTGGGAAATTGCTGTGATGTGAAAAGCTGCAAAGCCAAGGCCCTCCAGACCTTGAAGGTACCAAACGAGGGGCCAGACCTGGCTGAGCAGCGAGTCCGAGGCTCCCTCGAGGGCTTATAGAGTGATTCTGGATCTGAAGACTGGGGACTTAGCTGTGTGAAGAGGGGAGGGGAAATCATTCCAGGCAGAAGGAACAGCAGGTGCAAAGGTCTTGGGGCAGAAGGAACTCTGCAGTATGTGCAGGGGTGGGGGATGGGGGGATGACCCAGTAGCTGGAGGGGAAACAGCAAGAGCAAGACCCTAGGCAGGGCCCTCGTTAAGGGTTTGCGCCTTTGTCTTAAGGACAATAGGAATCTATTACATCATCTTAAGCAGGACAGGTGACATAATCCAGTGAGAACTGGAGGGTGATTCCTCTGCTCAGGGGTAGAGAACATGCTCTCTTGGGGGCTGCTGGGAAACCCCCGGCTGCCGTGCGGTCCAGGTGAGGGATGCAGGTAGCTGGAGCAAGGGGAAATGGGAGGTGGAGGGCGAGAATGACAGATTCTAGAAACATCTGCAAACCTCTGGTCTTGCCTCTCCTTCTGGGCATTGACCACGCTGCACATATGGACCTGAAGTTTTTGTTTTCTTTTTACCGAATTACGGAATTAGGTAACGTGACTTCACACTCCAATTTCCTAGAGTTTTCCGTGGGGGGAGCCTGGGGTTGCAGTAGTCAAAACCCAGGGCTCCCTTCCCTGCCTTTACACGGCAGTGCCTGCACGCTGCCCCCGTGGGAGGGGGGAGCTCTCAGCAGTAGCGTGCCTCTGTTTTCCTTGCTTTTGTTTTATTTCTCCGTCTACACAGAAAGCAGTGTGCCCGTGTGATTTTGCCCCTTCATTTTCTTTCTGCCGCCTCATTAGCTGAAGAGAGTGTGCGCGGACCCTAATGCCATCAGCGTGTCAGAGTAACGTGGCAGCCGCTTCTCCACAGACGGCAAGGAGGCAGCGGAGATTTTTAAACTGTGTTGGCGTAAAAATAATGAAGGCAGCCAGCTGCCTGGCAAACATGAGGGGGGCACAGCGCGGAGGGGTTGGGAAGGGCCCGGGAGCCCCAGAGAGGTGGAACAGAGGAGAGACAGGAAATGAATTCCCAGAGACAGGCAATAAGACTTTGTCACAGTCCGTGACCCAGGGAGGAGGGGCCTGGAGGAGGGGAGCTCTTACTGAGGGAGGGCAGCTGTTCCTGGGGGCTGGGGCTTGAGGGGAGGCATGGGGATGTCCAGGTAGCATGCAGTCACTGGGAACCATTGAATATTTTGCAGAGAAGTGAGAGGGCCAATGGGAGGGTAGCTGGAGGGTCCAGGTTGGCCTGAGGAAAGTCTGGAATTGCCTAGGATACCATGTAAAGACAGACTAGATCTAGAGGGATCCAGTGTGAACTGCTCTTTTCAATGGCATGGTTTCCTCCCAACACAGAAAAGGGGCCGACGGAATTCACTGTGCTCCCGGAAATGGCATGTTAGTGGTGGCTCGTGTAAGCCAGAAATACCAGCATGTCAAGAGCACACGGTGGGGTGCGAGGCTGGGCTGGGAAGATGCACGCCTGCCTGGCTCTCCCTCTGCAGCTCAGCCTACCGTGTTCATTCTCTCCTTCTCTAAAGCCCACTTAAGCCGGAGCTTGTGACAGTAATGGATTAGGGAAAAAACAAAATTGGGGTAGGGAGGG